GCTGAAGAGTTTATAGAAAAGCCATGGATGCTCACAAGTCTCTGTCCAGCTCCTGCTGCTCTGTTCCACTCCTGTTAAACAACCCAAGTTCCAGAGCCCACCCGAAGCTTAGTGGCCCCTTAGGTCACCATGATTAATGCATACTAATGTCTGTAGCCAGTAGTGCGTAAGGTACTGATGTGGGTAGCATTACATCTGGTTGCCTTTGAAGCTTCACTCCCCTGAACAACTGGGTACCCATTTACAACAGGGCAGACTGGGGCAGCCTTTGGCATGACTCTAGACTAGAGAAAGCTCAGACTTGCACATGTGGGTCCATATAGCAAAGGTATGATCTTCTGGCATTGCACTCAGCCTCCTATTGCAACCTTCAGCTGTTATTTTGCTAACTCAGTGCCCTTGCTCCCCTAGCCCTAGCAACGCCATTAAGAAACCCTGGCCACAGAGAAGGCACCAGAAGTTATCTCCCAGCATTATTACTAATCCCAGAACAGAAAATCTTCTCTGATAATTCATGAGAAGGGGCAGTGACCTTGGCTATCCATCAACTTCAGCCCTACCCCTGGAAATGCCTGAGTGGTTCTAAGACCCACATTTCTGACCAGTGCCACCCTCGTGGAATCTTTCCCTGTCCCTGACAGGCTCTGGGTATGAGTCTTTGTGCTGAAGGGGCTGTGCAGGGGCAGGCTAATGTGAAAGTGACAGCAACACAAATAGGATTTAGGGGTGTTTTAAGACACTTGCATATATTTGCCCTATTTCTGAGGCTGCTGAAGTGCTCTTATAGGCCAGTGGGTCCCTGGGGCCAGTGGGTCTATGTGCCAATCGCTAAAGCAGTTGAGTGGGGAGGATACCCCAATGCTGTTCTGGTGGCCATTCACTCCTAGATGTGACAATGGTAGCCAGCACTGGCAATGCTTCAGGAAGTTTGCCCTAACTCACATGGGAGGGGGAGAACCTCAGGAGATCTAAACACTCTTCAGAGGGAGGGAGCATGATTAACAGATGGGAGGCAAAGACACCCAGCCAGGACTCCAGGGCTCTCTTATTTTCAAGACTGCCACTTATTCACTGGGCAAGCAATGGACCTAAGCTTTGTGCCCCGGTGACAGGGGGCTGTCTTGAGGCCAGTCCAACCTTTGGTCCGATCACCTGTCTAGGGCAGTCTACCCACCCAACTTTCCTGCCATGCCTTTGATGAAATTGAAAAGTTGTTCCTAGGCAGGAGGCTGCCCATTTAATACCCCAATGCCAAGGGCATAATAAACAGCTCTGTACCATCCCTACACCGTGTCCCATGCCTTGCAGGTGGCATCACTATATGGCTCTGGCCCCACACTGGGCCCCACTATATTTCAGACTGAATATTTGGACCCTACCCTGGATCCCTCCTACTCAGGCGGCCTAACCTCCACCCTCATATTGGACTGCAAACACCCTTAGACTCCTTTCCTTCTCACAGTGGCCCCCTGCAGGACCTTTGGCCTCACAGGCCCTGGTCTCACCTCTAGGCCAGTTGGACTCCAAGCCTCTAGCTCTGGCTGTCCCTCATAGTGGGTGTCCTTGCCCTTTGATCATCCTGGTCCTGGCCCCAGCATTGACCAGTTGAGGTTTTATAGGTAGGTTCTTGGCAGCTAGCCCTCTCCCATACAGGTTCACCTTCTGAGCTCATGGACTACATAGTTACTCCAGACCCCTCCTGAGCCCGCTGTTCCACCCTCACTGGGCTCATTCTCTCTCTGCCCCTTACTGGGCCTCTACTCCAGCCAGCCTAAGCACAGTCCTTCAGGCCCCCCATTGACCCTACTCTACGCAGCCTCTGGCTCTCAATCCACCCATCAGTAGGCCCACTACTCCACCCCCTCACTGGGCCTTCTAGGCCTCATGTCCTGAAGGCCTTGACCCTGTTTTTCTGTTAGGGTGTGCTCTCCTAGCCTTTCCCCTCCACAGGGTCACCCACAAGGCAGCAGGGGCTCAGGCTTTCCAGCATCCCATATTTGCCCTTCACTGGGGAGGCACAGGTATGGCATTTCCTGGAGACTGCCCTGCCACAGACAGCCCCACCACACCATCCAACCCCCAGCAGGGTGTAGTTTCAGGTTATGTCCCAGGACCAGGAACCTCCTCCATCCTTATACTTCCTACTCTTGACCTCCAGGTGTTCTGGGAGCAGCAGTACTCCAGCCAGAAGATGCTCACCCTTCAGCTCCCCAGTTGCAATTGCCGAGCTCTGCTCTCAAGGCCTGTCTTATACCCCAAATGCCTAGCCCTACACCAATCAGGCAGCCTCCAGGGTGCCATGTAATACTCCTGATTGGGTCTGCTCTCACCTGCAGGCTGATCTGCAGCCTGTTCAAGCCCTTAAAGGGACAAGCACAACCTGTGCTGTGCCACAGCCCTTCTCTGGAAAACAGGGTGGAAAGCACTGTCCTGTACTTGCAAGTGTAACCCGGGCAGTACTCCAAGATGTACCCCCTCTCCAATTGAAGGGATCAGAGCAGGTGCACAAGCACTGTGGGAGGTGTAGAGCCCCTCCTTCCCCTATAGAGCAGAGCCAGATCACCAATGGGGACTTAACCATATACCTTTTAATAAGAGAACAGTAGTGGGAACATAACAGGCATAAACCAGGGGGTATAGGGGACACTACAACGCCCCGAGGGGGCAGGATTCAATAAAGGTTAGACACTTACAATCACAGACATATTCATCCAGTTGACAAAAGACAAGGTTAATATAAAACACAAACAGCAGAACAAACAATACTGGTTGGCAAAATATAAAAGGCACAAAAATGTCAAATAACAAGGAAAATAGGGCCTAGGTGCCTGGAGTGGGGGGGAAGAGAGAAAACACAATGACCCCTTTCCACTGCAACAAGAATGTCTCCCTGTCACTTCACTCACCCCAAGTCATCGTAGCTGGATCTCCATGTGGTAGGCAGAAACTATATCACACAGCCACAAGTGCTCGTACTGCTCCAAGCTGCTAGGGGTCTTGACCTTCCAGGAGCCGCTGCCTCACATCGAGCTTCCTGGCCTCTTATTGGAGGAGCTGGAAGCAGAGCTGGGAACCACTCAGGGCACTGGTCAGATCCTTGCTGGAGCTGGGGAACCTCTCCTGCTGGCTGTAGCCTCTCGTAGGGGGATCCTGGAGCCCAGTGGGGAGTCTCTCCTGCCGGCCGCACGCCATGCTGCTGAGGGTCCAACTGCTGCCTGAAGGTCTCACTCCTTCAGGCTCTTCTGGGGCAACTGCTCCTGCCCCGCTGGCCCAGTTCTTGCCAGCTCTTTGAAACTCCTTCCTCGTGGTCCCTTGCTAGTCTCCCCTGAGTCAGCTGTGTTGCCCCTTTTATCCCCCTCCAGGTGACCCAAGGGGCCAATCAGGGGACATGGAGGGTGAGTTTCTGGGGCCTAATTGGTGAGGAAAGGGAATTCCAAGCCCTCCATTTATCTTTTACCCTTTCAAAACCCCGTGGCTAAATCATTACCAGCTAGCCTGTCACACAAGTCCTTAGGAAGAAGTAACTGGATCCCTGAACTCATGTCCAAGCCAACACAGAGCTGAGGAGCTTAGGGGTTGGGGATCTGGGGTCAGCCTCTTCAATGCCATGACTCATAGCACCAAGAGGCTGCTGTGCTGGAGAGGGGGTTGAGTGTGAGAAAGCAGGTGCTTGGTTCAGCTCCATGCTCCCCATGCTTTATGGCTCTGGTGATGTGTTTGTTTGCCCACAGCAAACAGTGCAACAGCACATCCCTCACAGCAATCCACACTGCTTGGCCTGGCAGCACTTCTGCCCAGAGTAGCCTGCCCAGCCATAGTATGGGTGGCCCCAACAGCACACAGGCAGCAAAGAGCTCAGTGCAGGGAGAGGTGGTCTCAGCCCTCTCCCAGGTCAATGGGGGCCTGAGAGCTCAGGGTCAGCCAGCAGGAGGGGCTCTGAGATTTTCTCAGC